GCACGGTGATGAGTCGCTGTGTATTTTTCTTACTATACCTAAGTAGGTATTAATATGAGACGGGACGCGGCCGACGTTATCATTTCCCGTGATCACCGTCGAAGCCGTTACTCCCATCGCCACCACGATCGTGAGATCTTTAGTCAGATTGGCCACGACATATAATTTGCTACGAGGACATATATATTTTCTACGGCTTCTAGCGTATTACATACGCCGACATAAGAAACTTCTCACGGCGCTACGGATATCGATCGGGATATGCCATGTGCCTCTGTAACACGGCGTGATTTATGACCGTATCCTAGTTACATGGTGGATACTCGTGGACCGACTTTGACGGCTTGTTTCACTTTTTATACCTAAGTGTTGCTGGCTAGTGTAGTGACCGGGTCACTAATATACATATAAAATATGTGTATAATATATACGAGGATAATGAACCATTATACGTTGGGTATTACGTATTTGTACCTCAATTTGTACCTCAATCTTATCTCACCGCCACCAAGATATCGTACGTCAATCCACGCCTTGTTCTAAGCTAACCCCCCCATACATACATACACTAGGTATTCCCTGCTTAAAAAAGGGGACTATCAGATAGCTGCTCTTAGCCAACGTCTCTAGTGTAGCGAGTCACGTTCGCTTTAGCCATGTGTATCATAACCCGGCATGGCATGGCTCAAACAGCACAAAAGCAGAAGAAGCCCTAAAACTTGGCGATCTCACACGTGGCAGGTAAGTAAGACAAGACGCGGGAGATTGCCTCTATGTACTTGGCGCCGGAAACTCGAACTGCTCGGTACATATCCCCTCCCCTCCAACTGCACGAAATGGCTTATTGTTGTAGTGTATGTATGTATACACTATACATTTGTTTACTTCGCTGATAATTCTAGAAACGGGATAGGTAAAAGAACCCTTTGAATTCTTAACGACTAAACTAGGACGGCGAGGTTTTTTGGTGTTTTTTTTTTCTTTCTTTTTCCCCTTAACTAGACTTTTATGCATAGTTACTATGTATGTGCATCGTGGATCAATCCACGTTTTTCTATGTATGTACGCTTGCTACCTACTCTCGGGCTATTGTATTGGGCCCGTCGCACCGAAACCGAAACCGTCTCTGTGGTCCCTAGACGCAAATTCCCGTGCGGTCTGTTTCCCGCTGCGCTGCGGCTGAACCTCCAGACGGGTATGTAGACATTCCACGTGGTGAAACTTACGTCCGCATAGTCTTGAACTTGTTTAAGCCGCTTGCGTTACTTGACATATTAACCTACCTACCTTAGGCATGTACATCGGCAGCCAAGTGCCATCTACAAGCTAAAGCCAAAGCCATGCGCAGGTTCTGCAGTTGGCGGATGCAATGACAACCCCGGTTCTCCTCCTTACATCGGAGCGCTTCACATACTACTATGTATATCACATTCGTACGTAGTGTACAATCAATGCTTCCTTCTCCCTCGAATCCAGGTTGAGTCCAGGTTGTCTTCCCTTGGGTCGGGCCAACAACCCAGCATTTCGGAACTTTTGTACGTTCAACAAGGCGAGCCCCTTGCATATCTTCGCAGGACCAATCCCAAGTCGCGAGACCGCATTGAACCCCTTACCCGGTAAGGCTGGGGTTAATACCCTTTTTATTGACGATTTACCATGGTACGATACGCTTCACATCCTGTTTCGTCCAGGTAACCGGTGTCGCCGACAATGGTTCATCTCCACTAAATCTTCTAAGCTGAGTTCTTCTAGAAGGAAATGTCACCGGGATCAGCTGCGGCGTAGCCACGAATAGTGTATTCAGCTGGTTGCCTTTACGAGCGTTGGTCAGAGCTCAGGAGGTTAACATATGTATGTATGTACAATACATACTCGACGAATGTCTACCGTATACATACACTATGAGGTAGGGTCTCGCGTGAGCTACAAGGTCGCCCTTTAACTCAGGAAATGACCGAGCCATCCCGCCATGGATGTCTCTGTCTTGGTTGGAATAAAGTTCGACCATCCGACGGGTGGAATTCGGACGGCGATGACGACGACGACAGCCGACCAACTCTAAGAGTGAGGATGGTAGTAATCAGGTTCGTACTATTTGGATTCACCGACCTACGGATATGCAGTCGCCTACCTATTGGGTACTCGACGCGTTTTAGAATTTTCTGGCCACGTAAGGTCCGCTGTTGTTTATTCCCCGGCTCGAACCCTGACCATCCAGCGAAACAAGTGCCCACTGAAGCTGAGGCCGTTTATGCCTCGAACGGGCGTACCGCTTAGATATCCCCGGGGCGGTGAACTTCGCGTGTCTGACTGATGATATAGACGCGTTGACCTTATCCCCTAATCTAGGTTCTAAGGTTTGCCTTCTATGTGGTATTGATCTCCATTACGGACAACATCATTCAGTGTTTCCGCCTTCCGCGAAGGCATATATACGAGCTTCGATAAGTTCAGCCTCTTTGTTCGCATCCCGGCTTTGCGACCTGCATGCTCGGGCCATTTAGTGTACCGACATGGCTTACATACGGTGAATATTCGTGCCCGTAGTGGTCTGATATTTGACTCCCTTGAAGAGACTTTCGGCCGTATTACTTGAGCATTCCCCGGTGGCTTCCGGTTACGCCCTTTTTAGACCGGCAGCGTGCTTGCGATTCTCTTACCGAATGTGAGACGCGATTATGTAAATATTTTATGTGATAGATTGATGGTAATACGTAAAATCAACTATTAGATTTACATACCAAAGATTCTACAAGATGAAGACCAAGTTCGCGGCTAAAGGGACACGTCATTCTGATACCCACCTAGGATTCTATGTAACTACGTTCCGAATATCTTTCCTCTTATGCGTATTAGGTCAGTGTTGGGTTTAGGTTGCTGTTTTTTAGCAGTAGTACATGGGCTCGTCAAGATGTTTCCGTGTCAAACCAATTACGATTATTGTCCCGTATACTCGAGACAACCCAATAACTGAGGTCACTACGTAGTACTCTATGAACTTACGCCAGTTGATATGACTCGATTTTATACCTGAGGTTAGAACTAGGTATCTTTCCTAACGGGTTAAGGTATGGTAGTAGCAGCATTTTAGGACCCCTTTAACCTAACCTCTAGCAATGCCGGCTTCTCCATACGATATATCTCTCCATCACCAGGAAATTGTCACTTATGAACATCACACAGCTCTGAAAATATAGATAACTTGGTATAAATATATTTTGATTGCTTTAGTCGTCACTAAGCGGGTATCTCCGGTGCCTTTCAGTTCTTCCTTTGACCTATCGTAGACTGATAAACTGCTACCCTTTTATCTCATCTAAGGTAGTTATTAGGAGACATACAGGTGGACGATAGTGGCAATCCTGTGTAGAAACTAAATCCATACCAGTTTCAACAAAAACCAGTAAGGTAAACTCGACGCTGCTAGTGTTGAGTAAGGGAGCTTCCAGGTCCCATGTTAGAATCACGAGGGCTGCAGGCGATAAAGAATATTACGTGGCTAGTTTGGAGCCAGTTTACGTTACACGATCTTTTCTCCCTGTGAAGCTATTTTATTTATTTATAGTATATCCAATAGTTCCCTTATTAGGTCGACTACGTTTGTGATGGCAGAGGTACGTAGAAAGGACTATATGTATTTACGTTTGGGACCAACTCCATTCGTGCTAAAACAGTCTTGAGCTTCCTCTTAAGTGTCTATAGTTACGACGGCAGGTAATTACGAAGCTCGACGCATGTTGGCTTTATAAATAGAAATCTATATGGTTTTATATAGTCACGAAAGGGATAAGAACAACCTCGCTGTTCCGCAAGAACCTCCACAACCCACCTCCAGATAGTTGTCACACTTAGAATCCTGGGGTATACTTTGCTGGAATGTCAACTCGTCCGTGAGATGTTCCGCCGTGATAGCATGCTGGAAAGGTAGATGGTAAGTTAGAGTACGAATGTAATCGTGCACTATGTATAGGTATTTAATCTTTGATGATAATAACACTATAAGTTCTTCCTCCGAAAAGGAACGTAGTCAAATATTAAAGGTATTCAGAGTGGTATTACCACGTGAAATAGATCCCCTCATGTTTTAACCCACGTACGCGGTTGCCTTGGGAATAGCCTCAACCTCAAGCCAGTTCCCCCGTACCAACCCCTCCTCGTTGCCCAGCACCTGACCACCCAGGTGGCAGACACCTACCAGGCAACGAGATACACCTGCCCAAGTACCTACTCACGAAGTAAAGGTTATATATACTAATTGCAAACCAACTTTCAACCGACGCCCCCCGCCCGGGCGACTTGAGGCCAGAGAAAACCCCACTGTGGTGTCTTATGCTGGACCGTTCTTCCCAAAAAAGAACGTGACTTGACAGCAGATGCCCAACGAAGCCGGTTTTTCGTAGGTCCTGGGTTCGAATCCCCTGCCCCTATCCGAGGGGATTCGAACCTGGGACTGAGCTTTTTTGTTTTTCGTTTTTTTTTCTTCTTTCTTTCTTTCGTCTGTCCGCGTCAACGAATATTTACTTGCCTGCATACACACTGCATACGTGCGATATTAATGTAGAATAATTATTCAATCAAATCCTGCGCGTCCCTAATATACTTACATATTTTCTACCAGCGCAAACCGTCGTATCTTACGTATCTAACTGACTTCATGATTTGATATATGGTTTTTGATATATGGTTACTGGCTAATACAATAAATACGTCCTAATGACTTGTAAAAGTAGTAGCAGTAAGCCAGATATGATTAACTGGTGGGATTAGCCTGCAAGAAATGGCGCAGGGTTAGGACACAGCAACAAGGTAAGTTTCTATTCTCATACGATACGAGGCGAGACCAAATTTTTGGATATGGACTTGTAACTTCGCCGATATATAGATAGCATCAGCCATACACTGGACTAGGCGTATCGAATCAAGACGAGACAGCTCAAATTTCTAGCATTCACGACTACAACTTCAGGGGTATATACCACTCCTTCTCCATCTCATCTCAGACTATGCTAGCTACTCTTTCCCCCGTGATAGTAGGTACTCCCTAGCCCGTAGAGATGGTTAAACACAACAAAAAAAAAAAAAAAAAACGCTCAGATGCGAATATACCGGATCCTAACGCCAATGCATACCTACACAACTTGCAACTTGAACGCACCTCTATTATAGTGCATTTTCTCATTCTAACTCCGCGGGAAAGCTGCTGTTGCCTACCCCTGGTGGTTGCGAGGTGTGTGACGCCGAACCCTGGGGGTGGTGGTACTGTCCGCTGGACGGACGACTTTTATTCACGCGCAGTGGCTCGGGTATGTAGCTAGTGCTCCCCACGCTATGAGACGGGGCATGGCCGTACGGCGCTGAGTGCCCCGGTGGTGATGGTGTGACGCGGCCGAAAGGGGTAGACATCGGTCTGGGCTGTTGCTGCTGTTGCTGTGGATGATACGGTGCCGTGGGCTGTGGTCCCTGAGGGGCGGGATATGCAGGATAGCTCATAGACGAGTGATTCGAATGGACACTTCCACTCTGCACGCTCGAACTCGTGCGTTGATGACCCGTGCTCTGACGTTGCGCCGTAGAAGAAGCGCTGGCTACGAGCCGCTCCACTAAGACACCGTGGGCTTTCTTCAGCGTCTTCTTGACGAAGGAGGACATGACGAAGTTGCATCTTAGCTCGACGTCCTTAATACATGGATTAGCTCTAGCCTCTCACCATTAACAGGGCTAAGAATATATATATATTAGGTATATATGGATTAGCTTAGCTTAGCTTACCTCCCGTAGATAAAGACCCTGCCTCGGCGCTCCAATCCCCAACTCAACCGGCTCAAGCGGTTCTCCCGGAAGCGTGCCGCCGAGGCTCCAGCGCTCGCGGATATCCGTGCCCATGGGGGCATACACATGGGTCTGGATGCCGTTCGGCAAGTCGTGAAAAGCAGCCGTGTAAGTGACGTCTCCAGACGCGACGCCGCCGGGCAGATAGGCGATCTTGTCGGTCATGCTCCACCAGGCGCAGCGGCGCTCCTCGGCGGGGGCGTGCGGCGGCGGGTCGATGGGGTGCCGCTCGATGACCAGCGGGTTCAGGTCGATCATCTCCACGTGGTTGTGCAGGAAGTCGACGACCACCTCGCGCGTGATACCCGCTGGTAACGGCGAGATGGTCGTGAACGTGCTGCGCTTCGACAGGGCCATCGCGCACCGCCTACATGCACATACGGCGATTAAAAAAAAACCAAAATAAAACGAGGCGGAACGATACCCCGAGGGCGAGGCTGGGAACGCGCCAAGAGAAGGGAGGATTGCACTAAGTTAGGTTAAAGAGAACCTTGCGCTATCTGGGAACCGGAACCCTAGGTAAGAATGACTCGCGGAGAGGGACCGCTTGTAATAGGCAGCGAAGGCGGGATGAGCGTGAGATTAGGTAAACGAGGAGTGAAGTAGGTATCTGTTAGCCGCGGCAACGAGTCTGCGGGATCGAACTTAGAACAAACAATTCGTTGGATACCTGTTATATCGAACGAAGGTAAGGGATCTGTATGTTCTACTATAGTAAGCTGATTAACACCAGTGACTATAGGATCAAGATTCAAAGTTAAGAGGAAGCAAGCAAGTAAGTAAATAATAAAAATGTCAAAAGATCCCAAATGATACCTAATAGTTATGTATTTCAACAATAATAACTACCTCCCAAAATGTTCTACATATAATAAAGGTTCATCCGCACTGCATAGAAAAGTGTTTCATTAACCAAAAAGCCGAACTCTTACAACTGCTAAGGTTAAAATAAAGACGAAACAGGGATCATCGTCCCTTCGACTGATTGGTCCCGCTTGTCAGGCGATCAGCAGGGTGCGTGCAGCGTTGGCGTTTCTGGTCGCCTCTCCTTGCATCATGAGGCTATGGTATTCATTCGGCTTGGGGCTTGACCACCCGTAACCCGTCCCAAAAATAGAACGGGCTTACGGGTTGATATGCACTATGTACTCCGTCACGAAATATCCTGGTTGGTTGGTTCGTTCGTACGCTATCGATCCTAGAATGCCTAGGTACCTAGATAACTCATAGATGAAAACAGTATTCTTTGTCATACCAATGCTGCAAAGACTAGTACAACAGTTGGTGTAGTTAAATATATTTATATCTTGTCACCCAGGTAGTTCGCGGTTATCTTCGCCCCCGACAGGCTGAGCGGTGACCGGTCTAACGGTTTTATAGTCATTCATTATTCAGATCCCGACACCACAAGCCATCTATAATAGGTAGCTCCATGGTAGCTTAGATCTGACTGCACCACCGGGAAAGGAATCCCGGCAGCTCGCATGCCGTAGGAATTTCTTCTAGTACAACATCGAGCTTCCACATCTTGCCCTCTAGACCGCCATGCGCAGCGTTACTCCGGCCTCCTATACCGGCCGGTATTAGTATGCCAAGTGACACTAACCGTTCCCATGCTACCGCAGCGACGCTTCGACCCCAAGTCCTTGCGCCCGCTCCCAGGGCTAGCATACCAGACGAAGCTGACTGCACTCGTTGCTTTCCCATCTGGGAACTATACTCGTCATATGCCATGGCAAAATTTACCGTGTCAGTATGAGCGACGATGTCGAGACGGGCTGCTGAGATGAGTAGCGCCAGCTCTAGGTCCGACAGTGTTGCTAAAAGATGAAGTTTCGATTCCGAAGGTTCGAACGAAATGCTGATTGATGAGGGTGAAGGTATTGATAGATCCAGCGAGGAAGCCGAAACTGCTGAGAGAGGTAGAATGCACGATGTAAGAAATGCCGGTACGGATTTCGTCGTATAATAGTGGTATTCTAGATGGTCCTCGAAACTCGGGTCCTTACGTAGAGCCTAGAATGCATCAGTAAAGTGTACATGAATGATAGAAAATATACCAGTGACTACTTACCTCGATCTTCTGCTCCCAGTAATCTCGGAATTCGTATAGTCCTTTCAAACTAGTGTCGAACCCTTCTTGACCAAGATCCTCCTCGTCGACGGATAGTCCCTGCTTACAGACATCCCAATAGGCTGCTAAGGTTTTTGGAAGAGACATATAGACATATCGGTGGCTGAACCGACTTTTTACTCTCTTCTCCAGACTCTCTACCACATCTATTCTTGTAGTTAACCCTAACACTGCAATTGGGGCTTTCCTTGCCTGAGCAATATCGAATAGGTTGTATAACAGTGTTTGGCGCGCGTGTGTCGCAAATAAGTCGAACTCGTCAATAATAAAGACGACAGACTTGGAAGTTACACCATCCTCGGCTCCCGTAATTTCTGCGGGATGGGATAGGAGAGCCAACAGCGAAGCCATTGTATCGGCATAGTTGTTTGTCTAGGTTAGGTTAGCCCCTGTACTGCTCGATATATATATATATTATATAAAGCCTTTATACCTTATTTATCAAATCATCTTCGAGATTCATCTCCTTGCCGAGTTGCCGCCAGATCTCCCTAAGAGCTAGCTTATCATCGGTGTGGATGAAACCGTTGAGGCGAACTACATGGAATTCCTCCTGATGTTCGGCTCTTAGATTCGAGATGACTTCTTCCATCAGCTAGTACAATAATTAGCAATCTCTAGCACCCGAGGTAAAAAATGTTTAACCATACCGTAGTCTTTCCAGACCCTCTTGCGCCAATAACCATCATCGAATTGCCTTCGCCGGCCAAGACCGTCTGTTCTACTAGTTGGAACGCTTTGTCGTAAGCTTCGGTCTGACCACAAAGCTTAATGCGACGGTTTCCAGAACATCGATCTAACAGCACACGTTGCATGTGTCGCAGGTGCTGCTCAAAATTTGGAATGCTGGGAACTTCAGGCGCGCTCGTCACACGTATCTGTTTCTTCGGGGTCGCTTTCGCGCCCGGTAGAATATCGTCTTGCGAGCAATTCCTACAGATCCAGTCGCCTTCCGGGATGACAGGTACATCATAGCACTTCTGGTGCACCGCCATATCGCAATTCTCGCAAAAGATAATCTCATTGGGCGGCTCGGAATCTGGCTTCGAGCATATAGCGCATACTTCATCGTCCTCGTCCTCGCTATCTTGCGTCTCACTCGCTTCTTCTTCAGGAGATGGCTTATTAATAGTGACGGCTTCTACGATCTTTCCTCGGGTCTTCGGTTTCGTGGGTTTCGTGGGCTTCGCCTGGATGTCCTCAAAGAAAACCTCATTCTCCTTCCCACTATCTCCGTCGTTAAACGCGACATTCTTGCGTGGCCGACCAACCTTTTTCTTCTGAGGCGATAGTATCCCCTTAATGGGTGGTATCTTGGTAGGTGACGTATTTGCACTGCGCCTTGGGAGCTGAGCTTTGATTGATTTTGTGCTAGAGACGAGCGCATCGACCGCGACCTGAGCCTTCGGGGGCCTCCCCCCTTTTTTTAGTGTATCTACCCGTTCAGTCTCATTCTGAACTAGAACAGCCGACTTCTTCTTCCGGGACTCCAACAAGCGTGTGCTTACACTCTTCTTCGAGGAAGCGCTTGGTGTCCCTACAGTACTCTTCTTCACCGGCGGTGTAGATTGAAGCTCATCATGACTCTCATCTACTGTCCCTTGAGCACCGCCTATCTCTTCATCCGAATCGGGCACTTCATAGATGTTGCTAGGAAGGCGTTGGCCAATATTTGGTGGCCTAAGGCCGAGCTTCTTATGCTTGATGGGGAGGTTCTGTACTTTTTTAGTAGCTTCGCTATCTCTTTGAGATTCGGGCACTTCGTAGGAAGCATCGGTGGTCGATTTCGGTTGGTTGGCGCGGGTACTACCCTTCGCGCCCCCTTTTCGATTTAGTCCAAGGGCACCACCAATGGCAGAAGTAATGGCGGAGAAGCCTTTCGGGGTCGAGGGCGAGGCGTTCGCAAGACTATCAAGGCGGCGTCTCTTAACGGAAGCAGTCGCGCTTGGCGTGACAGCGGGCGACGAGTCCAGCTCATCTTCAAGACGACTTCGCTTTCGTCGGTTGGATGTAGGAGTCTGAGCAGTTGTCATGGTGCTATTGGGAGTGCGTATATGACGACAGCGTAGATTAATTAAATATTAGCTACAAGGAACTTGGGCCATATTAAGATATTCCACTTCTGGTGTTTTAGTGGTTTAGTGTTTGAATGTTCAAAGTGATTTGGTGTTCCAAGTGTCTAAGTGTTTTAGCGTTGTGACGTTTTGGCGGTTTATGGCTCCTCGCGCACCTGTACAATAGTAAAATGGACCCCTAAGACCCATTAAAACGCGACACGCTTATTTCAATTTACGCGCTCTACTCCAACCCCGCTAAAACACTAAAACAGAAAAGACATTAAAATATACACTTAAACGTCATACGCTGCGCGAGGAGCCAAAAACCGCCAAACCGTCAAAACACCAAATCACTTTGGACATTCAAACACTAAAACAGCAAGACAGTAAAACAGCAAAATAAGACCCCACGCCAATCATATTTTCGACTCAAATATTTTTAATTAATTATTAATCAAAAAGCTACCGTCTAGCAAGCATCCTCTCAATAATTCAAAATATTGACCTCATATTATTCCATTCATTCATTCCAGTGATAGGATGCAATTGCGCATACAATATAAGCGACTTCTTACAATCCTTTAAAGAGTGGAGTATGCTCTCAATCATGACCAATATACTACTACAACATGAAAAACAAAATAGATCTTCTCATGGGATCTCAGTCTTAAAAAGCCTAACTCAAGCACATCTAAGCCTCGGGTGGTCCTAGATTTCAAACCGCCTATACGGATTCTTCGTATAACCTAACATTAACGCCTTTATTCGGCTTTCCAACGATCTCCGTCTCGATCTGTTGCGCGTACCAGTCTCCGTGGTATTCGATGCGCTCGTATTTCTGAAGGATTCGTACCACTGGAGTTAATTAGTTAGCATTTCCCCCTTATACCCTCACGCTAAATGAGCATAGTTTGTCTAGATACTTACTGCAGTACGCCATTTCGGTCATGGCGAAATTCTCTGTATTAACATGAGTCAGTATAAATTTCTAATATTGATTATGTCTCGCGGAATGGGAACTCGTTGGTCGACCCGACTAAGGGAATATAACCCCTGAGACACTAAAAGGGAGAAAACTCAGTGTTACATACGTCCTACACAAATACGCGGACCACCGTTGAAAGGCAAATACTGCCACGGTTTCGGTGTCCAGCTCTCCCACCTCTCAGGAGAGAATATGGCGGGGTCTTCGAATTTCTCCGACGTTGGGGGATATAGATCCTTTCGGCGGTGCATTGAGAGGGAGCTATAAACCACGACATCGCCTTTCACAACCGCAATAGGTGGATTACCCGGGCCGGTCGGGAGCGTCGTGTCCTCTAACGCGGTACGTATGTTGAAAGGCACGGCGGGATACAATCGTAAGGTCTCGTTTAGAGTGTGTCGTAAATACGACATATTCTTGAGGTCCTCGTATGTGGGAGTTCGCGTTCGACCGATGGAGTTAATGATCTCGCTACGAAGTTTGTTGTACTTCTCGGGATAGTGGGATAATTCGTAGAACGCCCATGAGAGTGTTGCGGCTGTCGTGTCGCGTCCGGCTAGGAGCACGGCGATGATCTGGTCGCGGATTACCTGACGGTTACGTGTATAACGTGCAATACTGTGTAGGAAAGTAAAGTGCTTGTCAGAGTTCGACAGCTTCTCTAACTCTTCTTGTGGCAGCGCCAATGCTTGCTCGATGTACGGCATGATAAATTGCTCTATCTTCTTGATTCCGTCGTTATAGGCACGACGGGAAATTAAGGATCTGAATGGTCTATATCGACGCGTTAGAATAGCAAACGACAACCACAGGCTCAAGGTTTATATTGGTCATTACCCAACTGTTGTGAGCATCATTTGGATTCTTTGCACATCGTCAAATGCTTTTACAAACTCGCCCTTGGGACTTGGCTAAGTTAGTAACAATAATCTTAACGATATATTTGGCAGTAGGGGCTTGTATACTTTCGCAGACTATCAACACTCGCTCCGAGGAGGAAGTCTGTAGTCACATCGAGCGTCATTCGGTAAAGAAGGTCCATAATATTCACCGTCTGTCCTGAGGAGGGAAGTATGGTAAGGAGTATGGATACCCATCTCTCGAACGTCGCTAAGTCGCTAACCCTGTCCTTGATGAACATCGGCCTGATCAAGCCGCGACTATCGTGCCAGAGCTGGCCGTCAGTTGTGAAGATGGAATCACCAAGGAAAGGCCGCCATAGATCGTGGAACTCTTCCCCCTTTCCGAAGTCAGAGAATTGGGTAGTGAGTACCGCCTTAACATGCTCCGGGTCCCTCGTGAGTATATTTCTCTCTCTCGGCAGGAATCGGATCTCCACGCAATTGGGGCATTCGGGAGGTGCCGAGTCGAAAAAGCTATTGAAATGCTTCAAGAGCTGGTGATTCCTCTGCGCTTTGGCCGCAGCGTAGAACCACATCATCGCTTTATATATGAGTCAGGAAAGTTGTTTTCGAACTTAAATGGACACCGGCTTCCTCGCGCGGCTCCCCGAAGCTGGGCTTACCCGTGAAGGGATCATTTGCAAGAGTATGCGCACGCGTGCCGCCTATCTTTCTAATCCTAATCTCGTGTCTTGTCCATTGGACCGCATAGTAGACTGCGATGAAAACCAGCGACGATACACCGGCTACCGCAATATGAGTGAACGACACGTCTGCCAGCATTATGACTTGACGCTATCATGAGTATCTAATAATACTCGCAATATATGTGCAATATACGTGAACGAAGACGTTTCTGTGTTTTGTAGATATATATTCTGGAGTCTATCGTCTATCAAACCTCAAGATGAGGAAAGAGATGAAGTCACTTGAGAGGTTTCCGTGACGGGGACCTCGGCATGTCAGATTTCCCCATCCATATTAGAAATAAAAGTCCAGACTCAATTGGCCCTCCTAGGGGGTCCCTGGTCAACAATTACGAATTAAATGCGATGCGAGCCCCTCAATTGATCTCATCCTTTTAGTGTATAGTACATGTCTATGCCGATACTACAAGTGACGTAACAGCTCAATTAGTCCACCACCGTCTAGATGATGATGATGATGATTACGATGATGAGAACGTTAAAGTGCATTAGTGGCTATAGCTGGGTAGCTACAGCGAGCGCATCAATGGCGCTATTGAGACGTCTAGAGTACCTCCTCAAAGGGAGACAGAGCTAGAGTTCCGCCTGACATAAGAAATCCTCCACTTCCTATCCCCAGCCCCTACCTGCCTACAGCATTACCCTCCCTGGTTGGGGAAAACCCGTCAAATACGCCTTATAACAGAGATAAAATTACCCTCAGCGCCCAGCAGTGCCCAAGGAGACCATCTAGATGAGATTTGGCTCACTATATCCCTCCATGTCCCGTTCCCCTAGTGGCCGTCGGAGTTTTCCATGTCCATGTCGCCCGCCGCTTCATGGACAGGTTGCTGGGGAATAGGTGCTGCAGAATACAGAGTCCACAAGTCTCCGTATTGGAACATCACCTCCTTAAACCGCTCATCATCGCACTTAGAGCTCTTCCAGTACGGCACGCGCGTGAAGATTTCATGCCGGGCTACAGGCATGTCCGGTAGGCCCATTGCACGGGCACGTCGCCGGTTGAGGATGGAGACTTTCTCGCAAATCGCCAACATCTCCTGAGAGTATGGCTCGAATTTGGGCCACTGGCCAGCGTAAGATCGGATGTAGCTGACATACTTCATGTCAACTCGGAGAGCATATAGGCCTTTGGTGTAGAGGGCGTCGAGGGCTCTTCGGATATTGAGAACATCGATCTTCTCTAGAATGAAGAACCTTTCCTCATTTAGAGTTCCGATTACCTCCGTCCCTTTGATGATGTTCTTGAGCTCCCATATGAATGGCGCGACCGATGCTTCCATGTCTTGCGCAGTCGCCACCCATGCGTTAAAGACGCCATCTGCGATTTCCGCCTCTCGTCTGTGTGCCTCGACATTGCTTAAGCACTTTTCCAAGTTATTGATGGGCTTTAAGAGCATGCCCTTGAAGAAACCGAAGGGCTGTGCGTGGTTTTTAACTCTAAGACAGATAGCCTTCTGTAGACAGTATCTGAAGAATGACAGGTTGTTCTCCCAAATTTCGTGAGGCAAGATTTCACAGAGGTCTCGCAGAATCTCGTCTTCGTCATCGCCGATTCGCAATCCCCAGGTAAAGAGGTCGGAAGGGCTTCGCTTAAAAAGGTGTACCATCATCTTCCAAAACTTGGGCAGATAGGCTGTGTTCGCTCTGGCCTTGACCATCGACTCGTCGGCCTCGGTCCAGATTATCCCGAGCTCTTGGTCTCGTGAATTGTCGTTAATGCTATAGAGAAAAACATTGTTGAGGCCAGCATAGCTGAACCTAGGTTAGTAAATGCTTACAACTGCTATAATAAGAAATTAATTCTACTTACTCGAAGCCATGGACCTCGTTAACAAATCCTGCAGCAGCCATTTTGGTGATCGGTTTTGGTGTTGGATGTGTGGTTGTGTGGTTGTGATATGTGATGAATAAAGACTTCTTCTTATTCGTGAGACTATCTTACTTGATGTGGTATGATAGTGGATGAATGAAGATCTGGTTCTGGCAGGTAAGTCTCTAGAAGTTGGGTTGGGAGATTGTTGTTTGAGAAAATCGAGGAGCTTTCTGTGGGTGCTGGGGGTATGTATTTATAAAACTTCTTGCTTGGAGGAGCCTTCTCAAAACTTATCTGCAACTTCTCTCCTTAGGAAAGACGTGACACGGTTATCTATACCATACATTGTTTGGCAGGCAGTCTGTTGCCTGTATCAGGGTGTGTGAGTGAACTGTGGAGTATGCGAAGGGTCCCTCAGTCATGCGTTACCAGACTCTTGGGTCAACTTATTGCTGTATAGGCATAGTCGTGACTCAATAATCTCCTAAGTGCATGCTATTGTGTATGAAGGGCATTCGTTTCTTAGAGACTATGCGTCAACAAACAATACGTACCGACGCACGACCCCTATTATTAAGGCATATAGCATGAGTCAAGATAAGGTATATGGCAAGAGACAATGCTTGCCATGATGTACGTATAGAGAAGCAATGCCTACCCAAGGTATCAAGCGCAGATACGTACGTACCAGACGTACCCCCAGACGTACGTACCAGATGTACCTCCAGACGCACGTACCAGATATACCCCCATACGTACCATACGTACCATACGTACCAGGCGTATCATAGAAGAAATTTTCACCTACTCATAGTAGTCACGGTCCTGGCAACGGCTGAGGGTTGTTATGCTTGTAGCAAGCAGCATTTATCGGGACGTTCGATAATTTCTAAGGAAGGAATGCCATTATCCACATAGCAATGAGGCCACTATGAGATTTGTTACGTGTTTGCGTGTGGGATGGGTGTTTCTTTTATCCTGTAAATTATAATAAACTAACACGTCCACCCATTAGTCCAGCCCTGCGTCACTAGGATGATAGGATTTTAACTAGTCTTCTACCGTAGGAGCTTAGTTGACGGAAGTGCCGGGGTTCTATGAGAGGTTCCTAGAAGGAAAAGGATACCTTCGGTACGTTAATCGCTGGTTTTCATGGCTGTTAGGATGCTGACGAGACACCCAAAACAAAGGATATCCTTTATTTGTACAGTTTGAGCATTCACATCTAGGCTTAGAGTTCCTTAGGAAACAACACCCATCCATACCTTTGAGGTTCATCTCACGAAACGGAGAGGCATACTTTGTAATAATCAAGCAGCGGTTTGGGCAGCAAAATAGTGAAAGGGGAGGGGGGTTGTCAACAAAAACTCCTGGCGTTAGTTGCTAAGAGGATAAGGGGGGCGGGGCATATTTTCACTGCAACGCACAGTTGTTGAATGGCGGCGAAGCTATACAGTATTTGTTTGTGACCGATATATCTATGGAGGGATAGATTTTAGTTAGGTCAGAAAAGCAATATACCTATTCGTTCGGCAGAACTATTAGAAACAGCTTGGCTTTGATGTATGTCTTTAGGTTTTAGGTTTGGCTTATATAGTACACAATTATGCAGGTGTTGATAGCTCTATGCATGATTTGATATGTTTGAAGGCATTTAATAGAATAGTTATAGTTGATTTCATGCTATTTGCCATGGGGTAGAGAAAGAAGCAAGGAAACAGCTTTGGCACTGAAAGGATCCTTTATTCTAGATGTCTCGTCTATAATTCTAACATTATTTTCACATTAGATTATGTGATTCCTTGATTCCTAAATTAAAATGTATCGCAGAAACAACGCCGTAATTGCTAACGAGTAATTACGCTTTATATGTGACAAAATGTCAAACAACCTTTATAATGTATACGAGGCACTAGACCAACGCATGGCATGAAAAAGATATCATCCTCACAAACAAAATAGAACTCTTCCTTATCGCGGTTTATCATGAATGATCCTAAACAAGTTCTTACTTTAAACGTGAGTGTTAGCTCTGTTGTCAGGGTATAATTGGGTTAGAGGTAGTTATAGGGGTATATCTACTATATAAGGGGTGCGCACTGTCCTCATAAGAGCGCATATAAAAGATAGGTATTAATAGTTTAATTATATCTATACTGAAATCCACTCTATGTAAGGCACTAATCAAGGGCATAATCTGACACCCATCCTTTGAAAAAGCTTTCAGGACTTAAAAATACTTTAGCACTTTATATCTCTTTATATCGAGAGACTCTTAACTACTAGGTAAGTTTTTACATTATTAATACACAGTCAAGATATCCTCTACTTTCAAGTCGCAACACCAGCCCTAGCATCCCCATCATCAGGGGCCCTACCCTGCCTCCTCTCTTCTTTAACCGCCTCTCTCTTAGAAGCCTGCTCTTGCTTTTTGCTATTCGACATATCAGCAACTCCTCTCCTCTATTATCTCTAAAGAGTTCTTTCTAAAATGGTACACCCTAAACTCACCGATCAAGGTCGCTAGCTAGATCTGGTTGAGATCCACTGGCACCCGGCTTGCGCTCAACCACGTGAGCTACGTCGCCCTCGCCCGGAGGACGCATTTTATCTCCATCAAGCTCTTGGTTTCGACCGACTTGCTCGTGAGTGCGGCCATACTTTTCCTCTCCAGCGGGCGCGCCGTGGATTCCGTACCCTAAACTTGAAGGTACAGCTTCACCGAGGCCGAAATGTTGACCAGACGGTGAGCGCTCGTCTACGGGCTTTCCGTGTGTGTGGTGTTCCGCGCTGTGCTGCTCTGAAGGGTTCGAAGAAACGGGGTTTCCTTGCGTCTTGTATGCTGTATCCTTAGGAGGCTGTGCAGGTCCTGAAGGGTTCATCTTGACTAATAACTGATGTCCAGTGCCGTTATAATATTTATATTATTATATATACCTAAAGTATATCATACAAGATGGCAAAATAGTAATAGATAGGTTGTGTATTGTAAGGTGAAGAGTTATATTGAATCTTTGCTCTGTGACGCAATAAAGACAGCTTCCAGTCGATGACGTCGATAGACAACCCAGAATAGGGAATTACCCAAATGGTTCAAACGCCAACTAAAATAGTGCGGCCGCATCAGTTTGGTGCCACTCATCCAATCAGAGATCCAGCACTTATAAGGGTGATATATAGGTAGTTTGATAAAGACCATAACTATCTTCTTGAACAACTCCGGCCAATCGTATTTAAGGATATATACGTTGCAATACCTGAAAACGCGTATCGAATTTAAGGATAAAAGAATTCCTAGAAAATAGACATTCAATAAATAAAACAACGCAAAAAAAAAAAAAAAAAAAAAAAAAAGGGGGGGGGGGCGGGAATATAAGAGAAGAGTACAAAAAAATTGATGCACAACAACGGCTATGGTCTCGTGTAAGGGGGGTTGGACTAACCTTTTTTTATCCTGGGTTTTTAGGGTCCTTTTATTATCCTGGGTTTTTAGGGTCCTTTTTTTATCCTGGGTTTTTAGGGTCCTTTTTATATCCTGGGTTTTTAGGGTCCTTTTTTTCCATGGTCCTTTTTGGGGGTTTCCTTTTTTTGGGGTTTTTATGGCCTATGAATTCAATGTTAGTTGAAATTCTGGGAATGAAACCACTCGACCATAGCACGTTGTTGTGCGGGTGATAAGTGGGTTGGGTAATTTGGTACAAGTACGCCAGCGAGGTACGAGATACCAATGAGGGGCGAGGGCAAACACGCGTCGCGTACGCGAAGTACTTGTTTACATACGATGCAATGTTTCGTAGCCTAGATACATCAATTCTATTATTAGCTACGATATCAGGTGAACTTTGAAGGAAGACCGGAACGACAGACCTTTTAAGATGCAACATTGATGAGAAGTGCATCACTGACACTCGATTAAATGTCAAGTATTTCAGGGAGTTTAAAGCTGCTATATACATAACCCTCACGCATTGAAGACTTTTAAATATAGGTAGAGTGCATCATTTATATCTATTGACATACGCATCTAAGAGCATCAACATTCCAAGATCCGCCCCTTTCCCCCTCTAACACTACCACAGCGAGATATTACTAACAACCACCAGCCATTTGAGATCACTCGTTGGATTATGAAATCCGGATATCAAGTCTTATATATTTAATTAGTACTGCCACAATTTTTTCAACCAATCAAATACTTAGAATCGCCCCGCAGTTTGCGACTTTTCTCTTTACCACTCTATCGCATAACGTCTGCAAAAGGTGCAAATAGTATAAAAAAGTCATGCAAAACGAGCTCTATCTAACGATACCAATTATTAAAACTTTTATACGCTCTTGGAATAGGTCAATTGATTCTACAAAGAATTCATCGGACGTGCGCTGAGGTGTGGCTAGCCAATCAGAGGCCATATTTTAGCTGTGGCGTCAGTTTTGCGCATGATCCCCCCTTCTCCCCCGTCCGCGGTTGAGCGGACGGGCAACGCAGCTAGTAGTTTATAGTGCAGTACATGGTTCATATATCTTATTGCCTTATTGCAAACGTTGGCGGTGGTGTTTCATCCGCGTACCGAACCGCTTCTTCGCCGAACTACTAACAAGCTCTGAGAACACTGAGATATGTGAGATTAAGGGTGCTTCAACGTGAGAGGAGATTCTGGAACGTTATAGTTTTTGCCTATATTCTGATAATCTTTCAAGTAAGTGTATAGGCGAACAAAAATATGATAGGTATAACATAATGCACTAGGCACATAGTCGAATCTAGCCAAAACCGAGGGTCCTGTCGACGGCAAGTAGGGTGGGATGCGATATAAACTGCTGATAACCGTGCTAAGATATAATAGTACCATCATGTACGCGATATATCTGAAAAGTTACATATATTTAGAGACAGGTCTTAACCTGAGGATATTTGGGCTACCCTATTTATACGCTTATTAGATAGATAGGACCTGCTCTCCTAGTCATTAATATAATATACCATTACTGTACTCATACGGTACCCTCACTCTTCAGTGACTCTTGAAACGGCGCGCTGCGCCGTTGCCTCCTCACTGGTAAGCCTCGTAGAGGCTTATCACCCTCGTATGAACCGTAACACACCTAGCTAAGTTGCGGACTCGGTCTATTTGCCCCTTCTGCATACCTAGATTCCGGACCAACCTAAGTCATAGTCAACTACCTCTAAAGGATTCGCTAACCGTTTCACTGCGCTGAGTATCTTTATTCTAAGCGTTGATGGTTCCTCTGCACCTGCCGTGACCTGACGGTGGGTAGGCTGCTCTCCGGTATCTTTCGAACTACTTCCAGCAGAGCGGCGCAATGAATCGAAAAATAAAAATGCGAAATAGTCCTCGCCCCTACTGATAATACGGGAAGTGTACAAGTCCTCCGTAGGTCTAAGTTCTGGTGGAGAGTCTTGCCACCATCTTCTCGCATATCCGTGGTCACAAGGAAATCGCATAGCATACTCGAAAGGCGATATGATCTCTAAATCTGAATTCTGTAACTGTCGGCATCCTGCATCAGGTCGAGGATGGAAGGGATCCGCTCCGAGGTCGAAAAGTAGATCAGCTAAGTTAGTATGATTTGCTAGTAGAGCTGCCATCATAGGTGTCTCAAAGCAGTCATCGAGTGCATTGATATCCATCCCAGCTCTGCATAGGCGGCGCGTGAGTGAAAAGCTGCCATGTCTTGCGGCCATATGTAACCACGGCCTGGGCTCTTTAGACAACGACAACAAGCCACGGTCTAGAAGCAAATGACATATTTCCAAGTTCCTGCATTCCAGCGCGATCGCGAAGACATTTCCGATTTCATCGTGGGAAAATTGGAAATCCAGACAGAATGATAAAGCCTGATGAAAAGGATCATCTAGATAACCACGAGCTAAGTCTTGTGCCCAGTTATAAACGGCTTTCTTTGCTCCCTGTGAGGATGCCCCGTGATCTTTCAAGATCTTTGCAGACTCGTAGCGGCGAGACTCCAGACAAAATTGAAAGACCTCGTCAAGATATCCGTCCCGAAAACTTTGTCGGCTTGCTGAGCAGAGGAACGAGCGGAGGATTGGTTGACCCCCTTTATACGAAGCAGCCTCCTCTAGAGGTGTTGTAGAATTCACCCGAGAAGAAACGTCTAGACGAGCGCCTGCTGCAACTAAGATAGCTCCCTTTATAGCAATATCCCTTCTGTCGCCAAGATCCCATATGAGATCGATTGGCTTAAGCTGACGATCCCCTGTACATTTCTCTATATCAGCTCCCCCTATGATGAGTTCACGAATTGCTATGGCATTGCTTCTTTGTATGGCAATACCGAGGGGTGTATCTAGTTCATTGCAAGGTGCATTTACATCGGCCCCGCATGCGATGAGCTTCCAAAATAACTCGCTGTGCTCGAATGGCGTTGGCTTATCATCCGACACCCATCCAGATGAAGGCATGTACGAAGCCCATGCTGCCAATGGAGATATGCTCCCTGGGCCTGTGTTGCTTAGATTCACCCTTGGCCTAGCATCCAAAAATGACATCGCATTGTCGAAATTGGTTGCTATAATTGCCGTAGTTAGAGGAAGTTCCGAACCCAGTTCCTTGTCTATGTCGGCACCAAGCTCTAATAATGTTTCGATCATATCCTTGTTATCAGGCTGCTTCATTGCGTGATTCAAAGGTGTCTCGAGATTGCTATCGAGTTCATCGACATCGATTCCCATTGTTAGAACGAGGTGCTCTACCACAGCCGTGCAGCCATAGAATGCAGCATGGTGTATGGCAGCCTCTGGGAATTCGATTCCAGGAGTGTATGATCGCCTGAACCATATATTGGCACCACGTGATAATAGAATCAGAGCCGTAGACTCCTGGCCCGCTTGGATCGCCGCCCACAATGGTGAGTAATAAACCGGAACAGTGTCTCGGGCCTTGTGAGTATTTTCAGGGAAAGTTTTCCTAGAAGTCCCAGAATCCGTCGGTACTCCATGGTCGAGTAACCAGCGTACTGCAGCGTCATGTCCTAACACAGCAGCACTATGTAAAGGACCGCCACAACGGGTTAGGCCTAATGGTAAATTATACTTGGATGCTTTTTCTAGAATGTCGATCCTATTTCTTCTGGCGGCCCAGAGAATAGCAGACCTTGGGTAATATGTATCCTCATCGCCCTCATGGGCTAGGTGATCTTTATTAGTTTTCCATAGGATTGAATCAAACGCGTCGCGTAGTCGCGTGTTGACACGGGCAAGAGATGCAAGCGCTTTTTGATCTAGTACGATGTTATTGATATTGTCACGAATAGTAAGGAAACCGGCTATCATATGCAATATTTCCGTAGGTAGTTTATCGAGAGCGGCCATGATTGTTGATACGTTGAAAGGAGAGTATATAATATAATGAGGTATGTGAGTAAAGTTAGTTACAGCCCAGTTACGATGTATGCATTGCTTTTTGTAGAAAAGTGGGCCAACTAGCACAGACACCTATGTTTATCTCAAGACGCATGTACTTCCATGTACGACGATCATATATTGTTTCGGTTTCGAAGAAACAACTAGGTTAAGTTAATGTAACTTATAAAAAGTTGCATTGATGGCATTTAAGTGTTCATTCGTTGAAATATAAGGTTCTTATGCGCAAAGAACTTAATTAAACTTTCTCCTAATATTTGCTCAAGCTAAAGCACTTTACCTACCACCCAAGGTTCAAGTAAAAGCTTAAGCAGTTATGAAGCTCAACTTTATCTAATAACGTTATCTACCTAGGCGTTGCCGGGAGAACTACGGATAAGGGATATATTACGCCTATAAATACCTAGGCCCCACCAGTAGTAGACGTATTTGTCTTTCACCAAATCTGCACCAATCCGAATCAAATTTGATGACGCATCTCCAAACCACATAATCTGGGTAACTGAAGATGGCTCGACCAAGGCGCGAATTACGCGCAGCTGTAGAGGAGTCAACTACGCCTCCGGACCAACTCACAAAAGCGCAGTCGCTCGCAAGAGTGATTAAAGCCGAGGGCAACCACCTCTACACCTGTTCTCTACCCAACCAGCGCACCATCCTTGTCGAACTCGCCGCGCGCTTCCGCAATACCATCTGGATTAGACGTGGGGGGTTTGTCCTCGTACAGCTGACTCCCCCCGAGGAGCGAAAGGGTAAAGTGGAGGGCGAGATTGTGAACGTTGTAGGCATCGAGAAGGAATGGCGCAAACAGAGCTACTGGTGAGTAAACTTGGCATTGTTGTAAGTATAGGTAGTGAAACTGACGCTATGTCTAGGCCTAAAGAGTTTGCACGGTTTACCTATGAGGATGACGAGGATGAAGACTCGACTGTAGGCAAGATGCCGCCGTCGGATTCGGAAGATGAGAACTAATTGCATATCAACCAATCCGGCCGGACTCAGGCGTTTTTGCGTTCTCGTGAAGAATTAGATATCCGCGCCGCATCTTCATCTTTCCGTAAAGCTATCAAGGTGACAGTTATAGCTAGGACACCAACTACAACGCCCGAACTAATAGGGGTACTTGGGAAGACGTTCCACGCCCACTCTTGGAGAGCCCAAAGCCCATATTGGACGACAGGATGGGCTCCGCTTCGCCAGAGGAGGTACGGGGTGGACCATGCGAGATATGAGTAGAACTGGTAGTGTAAAGTACGCGCGAAGAGAAGTCCGATGACGTTTGCCGAAAGAATGGTCGTCATCACATAGTTGGGGGTCACCCTTGAAGCTACTAGGGGCTCCTCTCGGGGACTGAAAGGCGAGCTGAACTGCAGGAGTGGCATGATTATTGCCGATAGAGGCTTATCAGCTGGTTTCAGCCACTTGCCGACAATAAAACCCGCTATAACCACAGCGTGCATACCCAGGAGCACCAACGAGAACGGCCGGCTGAGAAATATCTCCTCCCCTACGAAACGCCAGTTCACGGTCCATTTGAAAAAGAACTGCCTGGTTAGCTCGAAGGCCTTGCTCGCATAACCCCATGCATTTGCCTGCAGAAACGGAGTCGCAATAACAATCTGTATCTGAGCCATAATCGCAGCACATTTCAGACTACCCGAGAATCCCCGTCCCAGGAACAGAACTATCCCAACAGCCGGAAGCACGAGAAGTAACGACATTTTGATACCCAGACCCCACGAGTACACGATACTACCGGCAGTCCATGCTCGTCGTTGGAAAAGGAATATAGCGAGCCAGAGGAAAAATGTAGCGAAGCAGTCGTTGAAGCAGCGCAAGACAAAGACACTATGAAGTCGTTTCGAGAGGATTAATAAGGGGAAAACATAGGGTGGGACCTATTCATGGCACCCAATTAGCAGATATTCGTAGCAATCATAACTGCCTTGTAACCTACTTTTGCCTTCCAGTAGCAAGCCATGACCAGCGCCAGTGTTGCCATATATAAGACCGCGAATATCTGCTGCGCGAGAAAAATATCCTTGCCCTCGTTCGTCAGGTAGTACAGAGCAGTATACGTGTAGACATGAGCTGCCGGGTAGACAAGGGGTCCCGTAGCTCCCGTAAGAGCAGTATAGTCGTGTTCGCCGGACACATACAGCTTGATGTGTTCCATATACGTCGTCCAGTCGATCTCGGTATCTGCAGAAAAAGAAGTTTTCCGTAAGCGACCAGTGTTCAGCTGCACATTGCCTCCCCTCCCGAACCAACTTACAGGGGATTTTCCATATGATCAGCGCGCAAAGCACCGCGTCGAGGAGGAACAGACATGGCGGGACGAATTTCGAGAGGGCGCTGCGGCCATTGGCGACGTCGAAGGCCAGGCGCACTGCTTGCGAGACCAAGCCGGGGTCTTTGCTCGCCATTGTGGTTGTTGTTGGCGTTGACGTTGGCGTTGTTGCTTCGGGGAATTTTGACGCGATGAAGCTTGCTTCTAAGACATGCAGGTGCAATTACGTAAAGTGGACAGGTAGTACAATACATAGATGCTTGAATTAGTAGCGGACAGGTGCTACCAGCCGGTTATTATTCGGCGGCCCGGCTTCTATATACCTACCAAAGGTACCTTGGTATCGCTTTCTCAACCGGTATACTTCACGATACTATTTCACGATACATGTCCTTATAATGTTTATTACATCCCATATAAACGGTCTTTAAGCGGGCACAAGATACAATGTTAAATATATATTATCATATCGTAGCTTATTAATGGCGAAAAGGAGCGAAAAAGAAGATAGCCTCATGACCAACCCCCCTTTCTTAGATACTACCTACCTACCTAATGTAAATAAAACAATGGAAGTATTACATCGCCAGATCTAACCACACTACAGTCGAGAACGACTAAGGACCTCATTCACAAGTCCCACCACGTCTTCCGCACAGCCATACGACCCCTGGTATCCCCAGCCCGCATGTCCGTAGTTATGAACAACCCACGTATCGCCAATCTTCTCCTTCTCGATCCTGACGCCTCCCTCCCTGTAAGGCCGGAGACCAACTCCGTGGCGGATGATATCCAGCCCGGCGATTCCCTTCCCGTCCGCAACAAGCTCCGGCATCATCTCCACCGCCCGCCGCATGATTCTCGTCGCGATATTCGGATCCGGCTGGCTTTCCCAATGGCCCTTCTGGTACGTGCCGCCGAGAATCGTGCCGCCGCCCGCCGCCCGCATCATTATGTAGCAGAGCTCGTCGGCGGCGTCGTCGGTCCCGGATTTCGTCAGCATGTACGGCGCCTCGTTCCTGACGACGACGATCTGGCCGCGCACCGGCACCAGGTTCTTGTCCATCACCCCGCCGAGCTTGGAGGCGCTTAACCCCGTCGTATTGACTACGACGTCGGCCTTCCCGCCGGCGTGGCTCAGGGACGCCGCTTCCGAGATGTGTTTCAGCTGGCCGCGGCGGAATACCACGCCGTTCGCCCGGCACTTCCCCAAGAGCCACGGTAGGTACAGCATGACGTTTATGCACGCGGACCCGAACTCGCAGCCCGACGCCATGCCCCGGGGGAGTTCATCCTTGGAGAGCTCTCGGAAGTCGTCGAATAGCGTCTTGTACCAGGGGTTCTCCTCGAAGAGCCCGTCGAAGTTGTAGCCTTTTTTCCTGATCTGCTCGATGTCCTTCGCGCGGCGGTACACGCGAGATTCTGCGCTCGTTACTTAGGCTTGGTAGTCGACCTCTTCGTGCTCGGGTTTTACTCACTCAGCAAGTGTATTCCGGCCTCGGGCACTTCGGTGGCGAGCCTTTTGATCTCCGGCCACGTGCGACGCTCCCACGAGCTGTGCTTCTCGGTTGCCATGCTGCTCCAGAGTAAGTCTCGACATCGACGTAGATCGACATGATATTTCCTTACGGTAGAACGTTCGCGCCGGCCCATGGTGACGCATACTCGATGTCATAGTCGCCTGGCATATGCTTGGCTACGACGGTTATGACATTGCCTTCCTGCTTCGATAGCAGATAGGCTGTCGTAATACCGGACACGCCCGCGCTGCCATCCGACGTATTAGTGGAACTGGTAAAGCTACCTAGACAGACAACTTATCGGAGCTCACCCGACGACCACGATATTCGGCATCTTAGCGATGAAATATCTCGGGCTGATATTATAACACGAGCAATCCACTCAATTGGTTTGCGCTACAGTCTAGAGTTTAATTAAAGCACCGTGCATATGTATATTAAGAATACGGTTGATCGAGCCTGGCCTATGAGTCAGTACTATCAAGCGATTGAATATCGGCCTCAGGTACCTGGGTAGTATTCTGGGGTAATGGACTTCCGGTAACGTCTTCCGCGCAATGCGAGACCGAAAGGCAAATTTGTAACTAGTGCTACGATGCTATTGCGTGGGTCAATTTAATTGGTTATCGTCCATCCTTTTGTAAACATACGATAGGATATGATCTCTCAGATCCGCTTTCGGCGTGCTTCATATGTCAACTTGTCAGTATATGGAGATAGTTACCTAAGGTAAGTAAGTATCCGGGTAGATACCTAATGGGTTCTCATACGTCCCGTTCTGTACCTAATTATTGCTAATATCTTAGGTCTCTCTAATCCACTAAGTTAGCAGCTTACAGCTTCATCTCGATTCCTTCCGCAGTAGATGTATTGGTTAATATTACGAAATCATTCGACAGGGTGGTACTAACTCCGCATCGGCACTCCGCTTTTGATCAATGCCGCCATCGATCTCGTTCCGCCGTGGGGCTCCCGAGTCCGGTTTGAGCCCGGTCTATCAACGCTTATCAATACGACGGATAATGCCAAGAATCTCGATCACTCATTTATAAAAAGCCACGAACGCAAGTTTTATCCTGTCATAGAAGGAGTAAGTATAATCCACCGCGAACGGCTGACGAAAAGGAATATGCCGTGTTTGGAATGTTTTACTACAGAATACGAGAATATTCCTAAGTCTGATAGGATTCGCCAGCCTTCACCATGACGGGAGAAGGGCGGTGTCTATGGAATCTCTAGCGAAATATTGTTAAGGAAATATCTAGGCGTTGTAATAGATCTTTATTCGGCATGATTAGGCGACGAGGATGCTGTGTACTATCTCTTTGAAACGCCGTCTAGTCTAGTAAACGCGATAGACATCAAACGACATCTTCCTATGATGCTGCTACACGTTGTAATTCGGGTGGCTTGGGCTTTATATATGCACTGATGGGTACTTAGGCATTTGCGTCTTCTATAGGTCATGAATGCCTCATTTTGAGATTGCCTTGCTGGGTTTGTGTGACACCGGGGAAATAAATAGAGGCGGTATCTTAGAACTCTGATGGGCTCCCTAAGGGTCCGGTACTAGAGTAACCCCTACATAGTATATACGATGGCCGCAATTCTGAGATCACGCGACATATAAGCCAGAGTGTGCTACTTGGAATATTTATGGGAGGTAAGTAGGGCTTGCGTTGGTCACTGATAGACTACCGGCTAATCCAAGCCCATGACCATGCTCTTCAAAGGGAAAACTGCTATGCCGAGTAGACATATGGAAATAAATGAGCTTTGCGAACTCAGTATTGTCGGCAGATCTGAGCACGCTATTGTTAGCAGCGGTGATGCTGTATCGGCCCAGATCGCCTACATTATTGTAAATGCATTTTGATCAGGATGAAAGACTTTAAGATGATGTATACGTGGTAGGACTCCTTGTGACTATGAGCAAGATTAGGTATAATGATTGGGTAAAGTGATGATTACCCCTATTAAGTTGTCTCATCCCTTATACTTTATTTCCCACCTACATTCACTAGAGCCCTATAATAAAAGTGCTGACCTGGACAAGTAACAATGACCCTGGTGCTTCATAGCCAAAAGCATACCGTAGATCGCATGGCAATAATAGGAGCGTCGTATCAATAAACTCGGAAGAACTGAAGCGAATTGCTGCAGGTCGTCGTCGAATAGTCAATCGAATTTTTAGACGCATAAGCGCGTCGCCTACTATGGTAGCAATTCCTTCTTATCTAAGCCACCTCCAGGCTAGTAGGCAGTCCGTACCAACTAGATCTTTTGTGCCATTTCGGTGTGGGTTAAGGAGGGCATTCTAAGATGATATGGCCCTTTATGCAGTGCAACATGGATATGTCATACTTTGTATAACACCGCTTGGTTGGCTCGTGGCTTTATGCAACAACCCGACGACGGTTCCCATCAATCTGACACGGGAATCTGCGGGTTTCCTGGCACCGATAGATGGGATCCGAATATGAGGGTCAGCATTGGGGCTTGATCATTTGATGATCTGACGAGGCGCCTAGGAAATCAGCAACGCAGCTCGGTAAAGGTGGCAGCCATAATATCGATGCAGAGTATCAGCCGACCTATAAAAGTCAGGTATGTCTCTGAGCTCGATTCGGAGTATTATCCCTCAATGTGACAGCGGGTAAAAGTGTGACGTAGTAAGGTAATTACAAATGGTACGATTTTGCTGCATCCAAACACTCATCCGTCTCTTGACGGATGGCGTTTTGGAGCATCTCAACTCAACTGGAATCTAGAAAATAAAATATAGCAGCGGATGAGTATCTTGGCAGTCTGGGATTATTCGGCGTTCCGGGATACATCCGATCTGACGATACTTATATGCACGTCATTACCTCGGCCTATAGCCGCGCTTATAGTAGATATGTATTACTATAGCGAATACAATAGTGTGTCGATTCTATCTCCGTATCGTAGCTTTCGTTTCAATCAGGATCATGCGTACCTACTGACAGATTCCCCGACTCCTCGTCACGAGTACACGTATACATATGTAAGTTGACAGCTCAACTTCGGAAGAAAGGATTCTGCATTCCGATAGTATCCCCTGGCTAGTCGGTGACTAAATCTAAAGCGACTAAGGTGACTTGGGTACCTCGCAGGATGGAAGCGGTGAAGAAAATATTGTCCATTAAGATCGAAGCCGTACCGGACAGCTGGGTCTTCTCGAGTGAAAGGATGCGGGAAGAGGAGAAGGTAAATGCGAGTCTGCGGCGTTGCTGCGCCAAACAGCCGGGACTGACGCGAGAATGAAAAATAATTGTATTTGATGACACATACTTCGTACGTGCGGATGGTCCAGTGGCTGAATTCCCAAGTCCCAAGTCCCAAGTCCCAAGGACGCAGATGCACATTGGTACAGGTAGTACAGTGTGGTTTCACGACCAGCCGGGATGGTGCGTTCCAGTGCATTGGGATGCCAGAGCACGAGTGGCCCCATACCAACCAACGGGCCGAGAATCCAATTTGTTGGAACTTGGAGGAACCCAGATGGCTTTGCCACTAGAGCGTATGGGGTGATGTGTCTTGGACGAGAAATCATGCAAACCCGTAAATCATTGTTTGCCGACTGGAACCTCAGGCTTCCATTCTACCATTCTACCCACAGTGATTCCATCTGTCCATCTGGGGCAAGTCCTCGGAGCAAGTTTTAATCGACTGGAACCATTAATATTGGCCTGGCTAAACGAAGAAGGGACGAGACCCCTAATAAAAGTCGGGGTTCGGAGACGGAGTGGATGGCGTATGTTGAGCATGCCTCCTGGTTTTCTTCCGCAGTTGCTGTAGGCTGGTAGGACGGATGGACATCTATTCTTCTGAACATCTAGCTGAGTACGAACTGAAGAATCTCTACGTAGGGTTACATGGTGGGCGGGGCACTACACTGCAGAGCTAAGTCGACTTATTACCTTTCCTTCCAAATGCGGTGGTAAAGAGGGGAATATCTATCGACGGCGGCGGCGCATGAGAAGGGCTTGAACAACGTTTAGCCCCTCTCGGAAAGTTGTGTAAATCGTAATAATGTGTACCTCTCTATGAAGTGAAACGCATAGCATATCGGCTGGTTGGTAATATCAAAGCTGGTAGGAAGACACGTTATCGAACAACGTGTCATCATTGACTACAAATTCCCGTCTATCCATAAGGTGCCGAAATAGTGTATCTGTCTAATAAGATAATACAGCTGAATATAGTAGTTGTGGGGGGCTAAGAATATGTAGGCCTCGCAGTTATCCCTGACGATGGTTCTCTGGCGAAATGACCTCGACCGGTAAGTTAAGTACGGTCTTCGGCACGCATGATCAACGAGGCAGTTGAATTGTCCTTCTACATGCGATGGCTGGTTGGATGTATGTATGCGTATACGTACCTACAGATTCCTAATTTTATCCTAGTAGAAAATGGAGTAGAGAGGAGCCCCGGATATGGTTCCCATTTTGTCGGATTCTCGACTGACAAGCGGGTTTGTACATAGCATCATGCGTTGGCTAGGGGTTCGAAGGGGGAGGCTGGCTGTTGGTAAGTCAACCCACGGGATCTCCACTAATGACATATTAAGGTAGACTGGTTGCTACTATTGATTCGAAGACGAAGAGACCACATGTCTAACTAAAGCCTGACGTTGCTGCAGAAATGTCTGAGTCGGGTTTGGTGGTAGACACCATCAAAGGTATGAGATAGGATATTGCGAAGTTTAATAGACTTTTGGGGGTTTGGGGTTTGGGGGTTGCGCGTTATGTGAGAGTCGATAGTCGATATTGGAATCGTACGGGTTATGTAGTGGGGAGAAGTAGAAAGGAAGATTGGTATTTTGCTTCCGTCCTGCCGTCCCATCTGGTTGGATCCATCATCCACATAACCCGCTCTTACCCTCCTATCATCAAGTAGCGGGCAATGATAGGTGCTAACTCCATACCATTAAGTTTCGATGTCCCTAGCTGCATATATGTACACAGGTACATACACTATTCTAGACATGTACCTACGTACCTAGGTACATACTTTTATAAGCCTATCCACACGCGCTCCGCAACGTCTCTCCCAACGCAACGCACCGTTGGCAGTGCAGTTGCAGCGGGCACGCATACTACATCCACATATGTACATGCACAATATCCAATGCCCAGCCGTTCGGGAATCAGGTTCCCCGTCTACCGGTGTGAAGGCGTAGTGCGTGAAAGCAACATTCTCCCGGGTTTTGATGCAACTGCGGGGATAAATGATAAATTCAATTCGATTAAATCACTTCAAATGCACCAACGGACCATCTGCACCTTGTCTGCTTAGAGGTAGGTAGGTACCGTACCTACCTAATCTTGCTTACCTATCTCATTTTCAACAATTACACTATCAGAGGAACGTTGTATTAAACTTTTTTTTTATTTTCTTATTTTGTTTTTCTCCTCTTCTTGTCCACCCCCCAAACCG